GTTAGGGTGGTGAGGCACTGGAATTGACCAAGGGTTGACCAAGGAAGTTGTGAATGCTCCATCCCTGGCGGTGTTCAAGGCCAGGTTGGACAGAGCCTTGGGTGACATGGTTTAGTGTGCGGTGTCCCTGCCCATGGCAGTGGGGTTGGAAATAGATGATCTTACAACCCTAACTACCCTATGATTCTAGTACAGAAATATTCTCCCAGGATTCGTTATAGCAGAAATGTTTTGGTTCATGGTCTCATCCTACAAATTTTTTACCATGAAAAAGTACTAACATAACATTTCAGTTGTATTAAAACCTGTTCAAGTTTACTTGCCAACTTGTGCCCTATTTGCAAGTAAAATATGCCTTCTTTTCTAATCATCTGCTGCTTTAACTGATCATTTCCCATTCATTTACTAATATATGCCAAGTGCCTTCCAAATATGTTTTATCCTTAGACTGTCTCATCATCATCATCTTACATGGTAGCAATGCTAATCTCAAAAGAAATGAAAAACGTAAGGAACTCAAATGTCTAGGTGGCAGTTTATAAAAAATACAAGATGTGAGGATTACCTAAAACAACTAATGTGTGCTTTAAAAGGAATAGCAATGGAAAGCAGCTGGAGAAGCATTTGAAGAATTTTGATCAATCAACGAGTGTTTTAAACAATGTGTATTATTTGTGAATTGAAGAATCTGAAATATGTTACCATAGTGATGATACCAGAAAAGTATCTGTTTCTAAAATACTAATTGGAAAATAGTGGTCTTGATTCCACAGAAATAAGTTTATATTACACCAATCAAGAAGGAATGACTAATTTTGATTAAAGACCCAAAAAGGTACTGTTAGCTATGGAAAAAAAAAGAGGTATTTGTGTTTGCAAACTTTATGTGAGTCAACTTTAATTTTGTGAGTAAAAATATTGTAATTATTATTTAAGAAAGATCTAGACAATCTAGCAACAGGACCACAAGTTAGCATGATCTTCTCCAAATGGCTTCTGAAATCAGATTGTCAAATGTTCAAGATGTGTTTGAGAAAGAGATATTTTTAATATCCTTGGAACAGTGCAGCTGAGTAGTATGAAAGGTACGATATAGTAAAAAACCCCAGTATTTAAAGACTAAAGAACATAATAGACTACTAGAAATTAGTTTGATAATTTCAATATTTTAATCCCCTCCTCCAAGCCATGCACTTTTAATATTGCATAAATTACTCCTAGACCTAAGCATGTGTTTTAAGACTGGATAATTGTAATAAACACTGCTGAAACTTGCAAACTGTGTAAGAGATTTTTTTTCCTTGCACACCTTAATTGTTTCAGTGTGATACAGAAAAACTACCTCTGCTTTTGTACTTCGAAGTTTAAGTCAGAGGTCAGGGTTGTTTTGATGTTATTGTTCTTTGTGAATACTGTTACCTCATTCTTGAGTTTTTTCAGCTTTCTCTTTTGGAAAATGTATGGTAGTCTACAATTACTTTGGAACACTCATAATATTCATTGTGGTAATATGAGCTAACCATCTGGGGAAAGGTAATGAACAAAGTTCAGTGCTGTTTCCAGAATGTATGGATCTATGCAAATTTTAAATGTATATGTGCTCTTTCAGAATTTTATTAATAAAGATAGATAATAGATGAATAAAAAGAGTAATACACTCAGAAATTGTAGTATATACGTTAGGTCAAGGCACAATAAGCAGTTAGGAGTCAACTAGTGCTTTACAGTTTCAAATCACCTTACTGATAGCCACAGCACCAGTGTATGCTAGGGTGCTGCCGTACATACCTAACAGTGCATGTTAGGTAGTCAAGGGTTACAGCCATGGCTACTAGCTTACTTTATTGGGGTGATAAGAAGACATTGCCCTGGGACTACCACATTACTGATTAAATTGACTTATTTGTCACATTTTTGGAGATTAAAAGATTGTGTTTAAGAGGAACCCAAAGTAACCTATGCCAATAAGCTATGCACTAAGACTTCAACATGTTTAGTTTTATTTTAGAAGTGTTTGTCTTCAATTCACATAGAGTTACTCATCACTGGATATCAGTAAGTTGATTATGCAAAGTAACAATCTGTTTTCAAGCTTCCAAAGAGACCAAGTATATTACCTGCATCTAAACTACTTCATGTTATACACTGAAAGTAAAAAAACATAGAAATTTGCTTCTCAAACCCTGCTTTACCTCAAAAAATACCAACATTTCCTATGTTACCCCAAAATACAATATATTCTTACTTTTATGATCAAAATTTATTTCTGTCAAACAGAAGGAAACCTGGTAACAGATAAAATAATGTGCTTCTAAGCTTAAAAAATATCTACAAAAAAAAACAACACGTCCTCTCCCCCCCCAAAAAAAATCCCTAAACCATGCACTAATTTTCTTATCTGTTTTTTCCTTATGTTCTATTTTGCACCCACATCAGTTTAATATTTCCTTAACCAGCATGCCATGCTTTCTGCTGTCAGCTTGCTAAACAGTGTGCTGTAATTTTGAAGTAGTTGGCTTCCAAGCAGTTTTCATTGTGCCCTCTGAGTGCAGAGGACAAAAAAAGTAGATAAGCCATATGTAAAAGACTCTTGTCCCCCTTATCTTGTAGTCTTACTTATAGTGGGCAACTGGAATAAATACTTTTAGATGTGCACGAATTCCAAACAGCATCAGAAAGTTATATAGGAATTTCAAATGAAACAGAAGAGTTTGTGGAGGCAAAAGCTCTGAAAGCTGGTGGGCACTGTGGAAAAAAACAGAACAGAAACTCCTTCCTTGCTACAGCTCATATGACACAAGCTGCTTTGGGATCATGGAGAGCATGCTTGGAGCTCCGAGCTGCAAACTATTCCTTGTTAGGGGAATTTGTCTTTTATGAAAGAGATTTAATTGCAGCCATCTTCAAACAAATTGAAAAATAACCAGAAGGTAAGTGAAAGATTCATTTAATAATCTCAATGAGAGAGAGCCTAGAGCATCTGAAAGCCTTTAACAAGTGCTAATGATTATACCTGAGAAAATATCTGGTTCTGATTCAGAATTATTAAGTTAGGTGCAGGAGGGAGGATAAGAATTGATGCTAATTTAATGTGGGGAATGAAAAAAATAACCCAAAAGCCAACAAAAAAACCCTCAGAAACCCAGAAGTGGAACTTGCTGAATAAAGCAAGTATTGTTAAAATGATTTAAAGATCCAAATATTTGTTAGTGCTTCAAGACATGAGATACTTCTATGTATTTCTCAAGGAAGAAAGGTGACTTTTCTATTGTTCTGTACACAGTTAGTTTACTAGCATATTCCAAGACCTCCTGATAATTTCCCAAAAGCAAATTTTCCTCCTGGTCTTGGAAAATGTATGTTTAGAGTCCCAGGTCTCCAACACCACTATGGTATAATCAGTATCTATCCTAAAATTGCATTATCATACTTTCGCCCAAAGGGCCATACAAGCAAAGCAGTTTGGCTACAGAAATGAATCAAACTATGGCTTGCTTGTGGTGGATCTTCCCGTTTCCATTTCTCAGGTCTGGGTCACTGAATCATCTTGATGTGCAGTACTTTATTGTTGGTGATGGTTATAGTTACATCTCTGGCAAGTTAGAATGAAGTCATACACTCAATTGTCACTATCTTTTCAGTTATGGGAATTGAGCACTGATAATAATAATTATTTTTTACTTTTAAAGAGGTCCAGTGTTCCTGAGACCTTTGAGCCTGTTGGCTGCAGAGCCAAAGTCAGAGCTGCTACAGTTTCTTCACCATCTGAAGAAAGAAGCCTCAAACAGAACTAAAAGGACCTGACCGGTGCTGCACTGCAAACTTTTTACTCAATTTGCAATAAACTGCTGCTATGAGGTCTTCCTCCAGCATGATACTTCATCCCAGCTTTTCAGACTATTTGAATAACAGTATTTTACATTATTTTCTTCAAACATATTAGTTTGTATTTTTCCTATTTGAATCTCATTTTGTAATTTTCTGCCTGATTCCTTAATCTCAGTTGGTCCCATTTGTATTATGCCTTTGTGCTCTCTGGTGTTCACCTCAAGTTCTAATTTATTCTCACCCGCATATTTCATTAATGTATTTTTACTCCCACCTCCATATTATTAATAAAGACATTAAACTGAATGAATCTCTACAGAATGCTATTAAATATTCCCCCCTACACTCCCGATTTAATATTATGAGCCATTATTTTACAGTCAGCTTTCAATCCACGTGACAATGCTCTTCTGCAAGTCATTGGGAAATGATTTTCAGTACAATTCTGCAAGGTATCATCTCAAGCACTTTACTACACTCCAGATATATATATTGCCTTCCATTTATCCACTAAGTAGGGGACTGTGTCAAAAAAAAAAAGAGAAAAGAAAAGAAAAATAAATGGCAAAATCTGGTTTTAGGCAATAGTTGCTGTACTTTATTACTTCACAACTGGGTATGGGATTGGGGAAAGAATGATCTGAATTATTTTTTATAACCTTTGTACTATGATTTATAGAGCATTGTCTGTAGCTTTACCCAGGATCATTTAAATTCCCCTGGCATCAGGATCTGTTTCTGCTACTTGTAGTGTTTAGCACTAAACCCTTGTTCTCAGGATAGACTAGCAGGGCAAAAGGCTCCTTCAGACCGACCCTTCTGCTGAACTATGGCGAAGCTTACAGCAGTTTCTGCTGCGAATGCTATAACCAAGAATACCATGATGTATTTCCCACAGACAACAAAGGCACCTTTGCGCTGTCTGGAAAGCTTCCATCATGCTCTCACGTGGCAGAAGTGCCCCCGACTCAACCTTCTGACTGCAGCGTCTGGGAAGACAGCATGCCTTGTTTTTCTCATGCCATTTTGGTTTTGCTCTTTTCTGAGTCTGCTTTTTAACACATTTTCTGTTCTATGTTAAATTGTTTCCCTCCCTAGCAATTTTCTCCCAGGTACTTGTGTTGTTTTCTAATTACTAGGCGCAATTAGAGTAATTCTACTTCTTTCTACAGGTTCAGCAGTCTGACAGTGGAATCTGATCGGGACTAAATTCAGCTGTGGTTATCTACCTAGCAAAATATGTGTTTGCTTTGGGAATGTAAGTTGGAGACCTGATGTATCTGCCTAACTATTCAAAGCAATACTCAGCATCAAAAGAATACTGCAGTCTTTCAATCATTAAGAAATAATACAGTGGCTGGAAGAGAAGATCACTTTTTCATATTTTTTATTTGACATTAATTCAAACACTGCACACCAAATAATCAAGCAAGTCCAGCCACAAGATCAAATTTCGAATTGTCCCTAGTCTAGCAAGCAAAGACTAGGAGAAAAAAACAATTTGCCTTCAAATGAATATTGCAATAGCTGCATTTAAGAGCATTTAAGACTTACTAAATAGTTCGTTCCAAAGAGAGTATTTTGACAACCAAGCTGTGCGCCCTAATATTTCAAACTAAATACTAAATGAATCATTAAACCCATGTGGGCTACTTTTTTTCCATTTCAAATGCAATACAAATCAAATATGACATTTAGAACTTTTCTATAATATCCATCAAGAGTGGTAAGAAGAACACAGACTTCTGAAAGAGACTTGTTCAGGCTGACCTATCAGTAGTGGAATTCTTTAAAAATACACATCTTCCCTATGAAGATCTGTATTTTTTTCTATTTTTTTTTTCTATCTTTCTGTAGTGATTCAGGAGAACATTTGTGACCTAAAATGTTGAAAGGTTAATACTGACAATGCAGCTAATGGCTATCTCAGTTTCTCCTGGCATTCTTTCTTCCTTTTGGCCAGTGTAGTCACTTGTTTAAGTCACTTAAACCCCTGTTTGAGGTGTCCCTAAGGTATTTAACTTGATTATGCTAGTGCTAGACTGTGGGGGTTTTGGTGTGCTGGATATTTTAGTGAGGTAAAGACAAGCCAGCTCCCCTGCTGCTTTGTGTAACAAAAAGGACAATATCTGGTAAGAGTTCTGTTAATGTTTTCAGGCCTTTACAGCTAATGAAGCTAATTTGCAATAAAGCAGTCCTTAGGTTTCTCGAGTTTGAGTTTAATCCTCTCTAAAGTAAGGAAAGATTGTAAACAAGGCATGAGTGGGCTCTTCTACACATTGATGTTGGGCACATCTTCTGTGTGTGTTGTGAGAACATCTTCAGAAATTACTAAGAATGTCTAGAGCTCAACAAGCATGGTAAGAGTCAAGCTTCACTAACTCATTAGAGCAGGGAAAATTAAGACTATATTAATGCCATACTGACTTAGGTGTTATGAATACTTTCTGGATAAAATTCTGCTGGCACAGGAGTTGAGACAGTCCTGACACTTTGTTTAGGTACGCAAGACAAGTGCCTAAAATACATATGGTTGTTACAATGCTGTTAGTTTTATTTGAAAACATGCATAAAATTAATATTTTAATTTCACTGGTATTTAAAAACTTGTAAACATTATGATTCTTAAGAATATGCTGAGGACAAGCTAGAATTTAGCAAAACTAAGCTATGTCTTTAGTTGTTACACATTTTATTTTATATGAATTCCTACCTACATTTTTGGGTTGGATTTTCTAAAGTTAAGATTTCCTCTGTTCAAACACATGTGCTTTCAGTGCATCCCTGAATGACATATAAATCACTGGAGACCATCGTAACAGATGTGCCATGGACTCCCTTCATGAAAAACTAGCTAAATAGACAACTATAATCTTTCTTTGTAATATGGCTGGTCAAAAATATTCAATTGAATTGAATTTCCAACAGAAAACTAGTTTTTACTGAACGTTCTAGGGCTCAAGATTGCTGGTTTGCTGTCGTTCAATCAAAATGGAAGCAGACAATAAAAAAAAAATCCCTAAAATATTTCTCCCTATCTCTTTGGTAAGCAACATACATAGACACTAAACTCTTAGTTGTTGAGATTTTAGCATATGTCAGCATTATTTCTTAAGTTTGTTTTATAGCTGCTATTTTGCTGAATTTTATATTTTATCTTCTAACCTAGTGTTTCATCAAGTCTGGCTGATAACTGTTACATAAATTGAAGAAACTTCATCCCCAGACTTTAACATATATTTGCAAACCACTTGGTCTGGGAAAATCTTTTGCAAAAAAGAAGAGAGTAACTTGTTCACTGTGTCCATAATGAATAAAGAAGTTAATTGGCTTAGATTCCAGCACAAAAGAACTGGGATTATATATTATGAAGAACATTCTGATGGCAAAGATATTGAAAGCAATGGAATGAATTGCTGAGGAACACTGTAGCTGTCACCATGGGACACCTTTATTAATAGGTTTGATAAACATCAGCCGGGAATGACAAAGATAAAATTGACCTTTTGTGTGGCAAGGTGCCAGTCTAGACCTCTTGAGGTACTTTACAAACTATTCCATGATTCTACCCATGCAGCTGTGTATGTGCCATGAGTTGTTTCACAGCTGTCAGTGGGACAGTTCAGAAATACTAACCTCTTGTGGAAGACTCTCTATGGTCAGAGTATTTACATCTGCAGTCTGCAGCAATCAAAAAGATGAAAAAGTGTGGGGTTTTAGCACTCCTTTTTCTGCTTTTTCGATTGTTTACCATCTCTTCTCCAGCATAAGTTGCTCAATGCGTATTTTAGAGTATGAAGAGATGAATATTTCTTACTGGGTATGAGAAAAGGTCAGCTTATCTATTCCTTGGAAAATTCCTTCTGCTTTTTAAACCTGCAGTTTCATGTAAAATTATATCCATTAGAAGGAAAATGTAAATAAATACATTCTCAATCATCAAATAGACTATTTTGAAAAAAAAAAAATAAGTGAATGAAATGTAGAGAGCTTTGAGGTTTCTTAGGATTTCTGTGTTTGAGTTTCCTGTTAATTCTCTAGTCACTAGGGAGCTTACAAACTAAATCCTTAGAGGAATCCAAGGATTTATCTTATCCAGCATCCCTAAAGTATGGGAGGCAGTTCTTCAACAGGAAGTGCAGAAACCTGAAAGCTGTTACCTTAACTAACCTAGAGAGCCCCTACTGCAGCTGGGACTCCCATGGATTTTCAGTCCCAGGTTTTCAGGACTTGCAACAAGAAGCCTTGAAGTCCCTAGTCCTAAGAGTCCACAGAGTGGGAGTGTGCTTGAGATACAGTGCAGGGAGAACTTGAAATGTCAGGTTCTAGGAAGGGGCTGCTCCAGAAACAAAAGCCTGCCAGTCCTTAGAGCCACCAAATTGCTTGAGTCCTTCATTCTCCCCTGCTCTGGTGTGATGAGAGTGGATTGCTGGAACCACTGCTTGCTTGCCTCATGTCACAGGTTCGATGAGCCTGTTTCCATCATTTCACATTTTTCAGTGAAAATCTGCTTTTACTTGGAAAACAGACGGACAGGTTTATATTTAATGTTGTTTAAATCTCTGGATGGAAATCCCATAGAAGTAATTTGTAAGGAAAAACAAAGCTGAAAAAAAGCCCCAAAAACCAAACCTGAAGTTTATTTGCCTAAAAAAAAAATCAGTTGTTTCATATATTGGGGGCTGCTTCATACTTCTGGCTGTTTCTATGGGCTTGCTCTCACAGGTTTCTCAGCATTTTCAAATTTTATTTTCTGTTGCTATGTGGAAGATCCTTGCCAGCAACACATGAATTGACTAACAAACTGAGTGTATATTGGAAACAGCTACTTTGTCAATACACAGTGTACTGCCAAGTGTAAAAATGTCAAACAATTGGGGAGTGAAGAATGAAAAGAACTATTGTTTAATTTCTTAATGTAGTTTCAGCTGTTTCTTGCCCCAGTTGCGGGCAAACTGTTTTCAGGTAGAAATTATTTTAATTGGTAGCCTTTCTTCAATGTGACGTGGATTTTAACCCAATGAAAATTGCATATTTAGCTTCCAATTATAAACTGTCAAGGTGAATTCACTATAGAGTAAATTGATTCATTTTGTTTAATCCTGATATTTTCTCCATACTTGGGTTGTTATTGTTAGGATATTTTCATTGTGTTGTTAAAAAACAATTGTGTGCCATGAATATAAACTGTTTAAATATTTTTGAGGTGGTATTTAGCGTAGTTGTTACAATTGCATAAAATATAAGGACTTAGTCCATTACATTTTGGTAAAAATAGAACCCTTCCTATTTTGAGCAATGAAGAAATTTCTTGGTTGGGAGACCATCTGGAAATCCATTCAGAAATAAAAGGGGAAGGAAATAGTGAAAGGTCACAAAGCAAAAGATAAATTGGCAATACTTAAAATTAGAGAAAAGGAATCTGAAAATCCTCTATCCAATTGTATTCTGACATTCAGTAAAGTCTGAGTTGCAGTTTTATTCTCATTTCTTGCTTTACAGAAGTAGTTCTTGATTTTTTCCTTCACTCTATACTCAGACAGAACCTTAATTTTCTTCTTTCCAATCTAAAGCTCACTGACTGTGACTGCTAATTTTTTACTACTTTGACACATTCCCATTGATTTATCTCCTTTTTCTGTTGCAAAACCTGAGACATCAGATTTTAGACTCTACAGATTCTACGAGATCTGTTTAGGGCTTATGATTCAGGTTTGGTGGTGATTTTTTTTTTGTACGTTCCTCAAATTCACATCTATTTTTACACTGATAAGATTCTTTTCTGAAGAGTATGCTCAGTTTGACAGTCAGCTTATCTGCCTCAAAATATTTATAGGATGCTTTGCATAATGCAGTCTTTCTGTTTACATGTTATAAAATTGCAACTGCTGCCTCGTGTATTGGGCATTCATATGATGATTCCCATTTGTTCTATATCTTGGTGCCCTAGCCATGAAATTTTGTTTTTCACTTAGAGTTTTTCAGGAATTGTTCTTACAGATGTTCTTAAGGAATGTCGACTCTGTAACATTCTGTGTCATGAAACTGAGTGGTTGCAGCTGCTAAAAGAATCACCCTCAGAGATATTAGTGAAAGTAATTTTAATAGAAATTTATAAATGTGTGATTCAGCAGAATTCAATGGCAAGGTCCACTCTATTACTTATGAAAGCAGCTGTGTCAGAACTGGCAATGACTTATATAGGATTGGTTTAAATCATTTATACAGAATTGAATTGAAATAATGTGCATAGAAACT